CCCAGCCCAGCCTCTAGTTTGGCCTTGAGTTTCCCCCTGGAGATAATAAAGTTGATGAACAAATCAAAGACCAATACCTGGGCAATAGCTGCTTGCAAGCGTAGATGACGCCTCAAAGCACTACTGTTAAAACCCATCTTTGTCGACGCAACTTGTACAATTTCTCTATCATTAATATAATACACGGGTGGGAAATTCTACACCTGACTTCACGTGATGGGTCGCAACCCACAGGCAGTCAAAATTGTGTTTCATGGATACAATTATAAAATATGGTCTATGAAATCAACTTCAGGCTATGTACACAGGTACAGAAGAAACGTAAATCAATTTCATGTTGAGATTTGGGTCCCATCCCCAAGATAGCTCATGATGTATTTGCAAATATTCCAAAATATGAAAAAAAATCTGAAATCTGAAAACCCTTCCGGTCCCAAGCATTTTGGATAAGGGATACTCAGCCTGTAGAATCTTGGCTCAGACACCTGATCACCCAACATTACGAGCAGCAGCTCCACGATCACTAGGGCATTGGGGTCTCATCCTCACTGCTGGAATTCCCAAGGAGGCTCTCACACCATTAGAGGTTTATGTACAACGGCTGTACAACGGCTGAAGACTCAGCCTCACTAATATTCCAGAAACCTTTTTGTTTGTTTGTTTTTGGAGACAGGGTCCTAAAAATATGCACCACCACAGTGCCTGGCTATTTTTTCTTTTAATTTTATTTTTGTAGAAATGGGGTCTTGCCGTGTTGTCCAGCTGGTCTCACACTCTTGATCTTGAGAGAACCTCCTCTCTCAGCTCCCAGGGTGCTGGGATTACAGGTGTGAGCCACTGTGCCTGGCCTCAGGGAAGTATTTTAGGTTTAACCTATTGCTATCTGCAAAACAGCAATACATCACCAAAGAATTTTCTTTTCTATCTAAACTGGACATGTTTTTAACATTTGGTCTACTTACACGTGCAGACACGTGTGTATGTAAAATGCATTTCAGACTCAGGTGCGTATGAGCACAATGTATTTAGCACTCGAAGCAGAGATCTCTTCTAATGGCTGGTTAACAGTACCAGGCTCTGTTTCCTGCTGCCCTGCAGGGCCACTAATTCATAAACTTCTACCTAATTGAGACAAGGGTCCCACAGAGATTATTACTTATATATAAGCAAACAAAATTTTTCCATTTTAAACAACACTCTGAATCTTCTCATTATATTTTAAACTGTTATAAATTCACTGAAGCCATGCCAGCTGGGTGCTAGGAGGCTGGGTGCCTTCTGGCCCAGACCCCTTCTCCTGGAGAGGCAAGAGATGTCTCTCCCGGATCTTTCTGGGGCTGATGCCCAGAAAATGATAATCTTTCAAGACAATCACTTTAGGGTTTATGAAGAGACAGTGTTTTTTTCGTTTTTCTCGTCCCTTCTCTGTTCTCATCTACTGAGACATTAGAAAGAACCTCCAAGAGGTGCTGGAAGCCTTTAATAGTATTTGCCTTTCCCTTTAACCCAAATTTATTATTTAAAAGCAATTTCTTTTCACAATTTAAGAATAGGAAGAAGATGAGTTTGATGCTAAATATTTAATATGTGCCAAGGATGCATTAAGTACCGATTTGGGGTGGCTAAGTTTAGAAAGTGTCCTCACGTTCTCCCCACCATCTATGGAAGCTGAATTTCAGGTTCTTACATTGGAAGCCATTTAATTGTTTCCTTGTTTTCAAGATTTCTCCCAGATTTCAAATGGAAAGCAGACCAATGAAAAAGTAAAAACCGCAAACCTGCAAATGGAGTTGTTTTCAGCGTGGTTTGAAACCTAGGAAGAGAAGATTATCCCATTGTGTGAGTTTTTCTGCTCAGGACCATTTGGGAGCCATTTGGCTGACGATTCAGATCTTTGTGAGTCATTCTCTGCTGAAAGTACCAGAATTTGCTACGTTCAGGCTCTGATTATTATTATTAACAGCTGCTTTGATGAATAAACACTTTTCAGATTCTCATATTCACACTGCTAAGACATTACCCAGGAAAAAAAAAAAAGCAAAAAAATTCCAGTGAGGGCAGTGTTTAAGACCAGCTCTCAGCGTGTTAGGAGAAATATGGATAAAACTGCTGTGGATTCTGAAGTTCCGATCTTCTCATCCCTATCCTAATCCCCCATCTCCTCCTTAAGGAACATGATTCTAGATGGGCGTGCTTTATGCGGTGTGAACCATTTATTGAGAATTAATCTCCTCTGAAAGATTCTCATTCAGTATGTTCTGCTCTTCCCCAGTCAGACCTTTCTCCCCATCATGCAGAATCTGGTCCTCTGCTGATGCTTACCTCCCTAGGGTGCCCACAGCACTGCCACTGGGGGCAGTATCCCCAGGCCCCTTGGGCGGCAGCCGCTATAGGTAGCTCAGGGCTGATTTTCAGAGCCACAAAGCCTCCTTGGGTAGTGGAATGCCAGCCCCAGATGCAGGCGTTTGTGTTCAGTCCTGGGGGCGAGGGCAGCAGCCCAGTTTCCAGGCCCTGCTCAAACTAAGGGATCAGGGAGTGACTTGGGCGAATCTCATATTCACTAAACGGAAGAAGCAAGACGCAGAAGGTCACATATGGACCACGTGATCCCATTCACATGACGGTCCTGAGAAAGGCAAAGCTAGAACGATGAAAATCAGAGCAGTGGTTGTCGGGGAGAGAACGATAAGGAAGGGACAGAGGGCAAGAGGGACTTTACGCGGTGGTGGCTTTGCTCTGTCTTCATAGTGGTGGTGGCTACACCACTGCAGATTGGCCAAAACTCACCTAAAGACACATAAAAAGGGCAAATCTTACTGATTCTACCTTATGCCTCAGTAAACACGAATGTAAACAAGACTAGGAACAATGGCAGAAAACAGATCAAGCGATCACAGAGATGGGGGAGGGAGGAGCTTCCACTGGGGGGCAATGGAGGTCCCCAAGAGCTATCTCCAGGAGGGATGGTTTTCAACAGGGAGACTCAGGGAGAAATTGGGGAGCTCGCCCACAGATCCCAGTGGATGTCTTAATTTCTGAATTCATCTAGAGTACGTTTGTTGATTGCCTCTCTGCTTTAGTCAATTGGCTTTACAATTTCTAGGTCAAGGTTAAGTCTCCTAAGTCAAAGTTTTGTTTTGCTGGAATCCAATGTTCTTAAGGCAATCATTCAGAAAGGACTAGGGGTCAGTCACCTGTGTTGTGAAATTCCTGCAGAGGGGAGCTCTGAGAGACTGTGGAAGCCACTACCTGGCCAGCCCAGCAGCCCCAAGGCCCAGAGCTTGCCTTAGCAACCCACTGAGGTCAAGAGACCACCCTACTCATGGCCTAAGATTCCACCCATGACACTCAGCTGTGTGTTGGCACAGGACTCCACTGGCCATAGACACTATCTGACTGAGGATGGAGAACCATGCCAAATCCCCTGCTTATTCTGAAAAATAGCCAAGAGGGGTCTGTATAACCACAGTGCCACTCCCAGTGGTGCAGCTCACTCCTAGAGCAGGTACTATGCCTGAGTTTTACAATGAATTTCCACACAGGGCACAAGGAGGCTGGTTGTTATTCAAAAGTCCCATTTCTACCTTACCTACAAAACACAACTGCTTCTTTTGGGCAGACATAGCAGATTCAAGCTAATGATTAATAACATATTCCAGGGTGCTTGGAGGGCTAAATGATAATCTTTCAAGACAATCACTTTAGGGTTTATGAAGAGACAGTGTTTTTTTGTTTTTTGGTTTTTTTTGATACAAATTCTCACTCTGTTACCCTGGGGAGAGCGCTGTGGTGCCATCACTCACAGCAACCTCAAACTGCTGTGCTCAAGCAATCCCCTTATGGCAGCCCCTGCCCCAATAGCTGAAACTATAGCTGAAACACAAGGCCCAGCTAGTTTTTAGTAGAGACAGAGTCTCCCTCTTGCTCAGGCTGGCCTCCAACTCCTGAGCTCAAGCAATCCACCTGCTTCGGCCTCCCAGAGTGCTGGGATTACAGGAGTGAGCCACTGCTCCCCCAGAAAGACACTAGTAAGCGGTCTTTCCTTTTGAAATTTTGTCCCCTCACATTCTCACAGCAGTCACATGGGTGAATTATCTTTTTCTGAAATGAACCCTTTTGTCTTGGACAGTTCAGAAGTACATTTCGGCCCGGACTCCACAATTGTCTTAATTACCAATCACAGCAGCGCCTACTGAATGCCCTGAAGGAAAGGTCACAGTGTATGTATACCACAGTTTATTAACCCATTCATAGGTCAACGGGCACTTGGGCTTCTTCCATGACTTAGCAACTTATGCAGCCTTAAAGAAAGATGGAGACTTTACCTCTTTCATGTTTACATGGATGGAACTGGAACATATTCTTCTTGGCAAAGTATCTCAAGAATGGAAGAAAAAGTATCCCATGTACTCAGCCCTGGTATGGAACCAATTTATAGCTTTCATATGAAAGTTATCTTTCATAACCCAGTTATAGCCCAAGAAGAAGGGGAAAGGGGAGAGGGAAGGGGGAGGGAGGGGAGGGGAGGGTGGAGGTCGGGTGGAGGGAGGGTAGTTGGTGGGACCACACCTATGGTAAATCTTACAAGGGTACATGTGAAATTTACTAAGAATATAAATGTCTTAACACAGTAACTAAGAAAATGCTTTGAAGACTATGTTGACCAGTTTGATGAAAATATTTCAAATTGTATATAAAGCCAGCACATTGTACCCCATGATTGCACTGATGTACACCGCTATGATTTAATAAAAAGAAAAAAACAGAAAAGGTCGCAGTTGCCTTAGCGGGGTTGTCTCTGGCTGGGGGAGCCCAGGAGGGGCTGAGGTAGGAGGCCAACTCACTTCCGCCCTTGCCGCTCTTCTCCATCCGGTACTGGTAGATGTGCAACGTGAAGAACATGTGTGAGCTGCGGTGGGCGTCCTCGTCACAGTCCTGCTGGTGGCTCCGGCGAGAGGCGATGGCTGCGTCCAGGAAAAAGGCCGCCTTCTCTGCGGTGGGGGCCCGCAGCTCGCTCTGGTTCTGCAGCTGGAAAACAGAAGCCACAGGCTGAATGAGGCTGCAAGCTGGGGTGGGGGGCTTGCCTGTCACTCACACCCGGACGCTACCGCTCCATTCAGCTAGCTGTCCCTTCCCTATAGTAAAGCCACGCGCCTCGCTAAGGCAGAAAGTCTGTCTAGAACCAGGTGCTGTGCTGGTATGCAATTCTCAGCTTAATTAATTCATTTCTGAAGATTAATATTGAGCACACTTAATTGGATAAAACCTATTTTCATGCATTTTACAATTTACATAGGATATCTATAAATAGCAGGTGTGACAAGCAAATGGTTGCAGAGGCTGAGCCAGGGGAGCAGGTGGCCCAGCCTTATCTCTGCAGAGGACAGCAAGCCAACCTCCTGGCTATCCGTTTACCTAAGAAAACAGAGGGATGAGGGATGTGACTGCATCTTGATTCCAAAGATTAGACTGTTTGCAGACGGGGCGGTTGCAAAACGTGATTTTAGACCTGACAGCACTGAGGTCTCAAAGAAGAAAAAAAACTCAGTTAAGTTTCACAAGGCTTCTAAACCTTCAGGTATTTACTCAAAGCCAATTTTAAGCCACATGTACTAGCATAAATAAGAAGTGAGTGGAAAAGGCACCCCGAAACACCCACGATGTCTCATCCGTATTTAAGAGATACCTTAATTCTGAATTCATGTTCCTGGCATACTCATTGATTAATGGAAGATGGCACAGCCCCCCATGTCTAAATGTTATGAGAACACTTAGGAATAACAGTAAACCTGATCAGAGCCATCATATCAGAATTTGACCCAGACTTCCTTTTTTGAGAGAAAAAGTAAACTGTTTCTGGGTTTTATTCTAAGAACTGGCTCGCTGTACAGGCCTTGGTATAAATTCTGACAATTGTCTACTCTAATTTTGACCTCTGAGAGCCGACAGTCAGAACCTGAGACCATTAAAATCTTTGAACTTCAAAGAGATTCTCTTCTGTTTATTGTTTTGTACTTATTCTAGAAAAATAAACCAAGGAATGTTAAAGATTTTTTCCAACAAGAAGCATTACAGAGAATGCTGGTTTCTTCCTCTTTTTAGCCTTTAGTCAAGCCGATTTTTCACCTAGATGGAACTTCCCCCATGGAGTGGTAAAAGTGAACGGAGGTGAGAATGTATTTGACTGTCCTGGAAACACCTGGAACACGGGCAGTGGTAGCAGTGGGTCCTCCTGATTCCATTATAGGTGCTGTTTAGAGATGGTCTGAATACGTCTTATACTTCAGTGCATTTTTTTTTGGCCAGGGCTGGGTTTGAACCCGCCACCTCCAGCATATGGGGCCGGTGCCCTGTTCCTTTCAGCCATAAGCGCCACCCATTTTTTTTTTTTTTTGGCAGTTTTTCCCCAGGGCTGGGTTTGAATCTGCCATCTCTGGCATATGGGGCTGGCGCTCTACTCCTTTGAGCCACAGGCACCACCCTTCAGAACACTGATTCTCAAAGTGTGATCCCCAGACCAGCAGCATCAACATTACATGGGAACTTGACAGAAATGCAAATTTTGGAGCTCCAAGGGAGACCCATTCCATTAGAGACTCTGGGGGTGGAGCCTAATGAGCCTTGTTTTAACAAGTCCTCCAGGTCCCGTGGTGCCCGTGGCTCAAAGGAGTAAGGCGCTAGCCCCATATGCTGGAGGTGATGGGTTCAAACCCAGTCATAGCCAAAAAAAAAAGTTAACACATAAACATAAAATAAAATTATCAAAAAAAAAGAAGTCTTCCAGGTCACTCTAGTTCAGACTAAAGATGACTCATAAGGAAAACGGAAGGGTCTGAGGTTCTTTAACAGGGGAAGAGCATGGTCAGGTCTGAGTAGGTGAGTATAAGGAGAGCCACCGGGACAGCCTCACCTGTGCCAACAATCCCAGTTGGGATCAGACGGCACACATGTCTAAAAAAGAGGCAGCTGATAAAACCAGGGACTTGGAAGAACGGATTATTCTGGATACCAATCAGGGGCTCCCGAGTCATTCCTCCAGCTACCGTCACAGCAAGGGGGAGACACTCCTAACAGGTATGACATCCCCCAAAGGCAAAGCAGAGCTTCTCTTGGCTTCCACAGTTCTAGCAATTATATCACGGTTCTAATTAGACAGTGGTTATGAGTTTTTCCTACAGCACTGCTAATCCGACTGCAAACCAGCGCCAGAAACAGAGTTTATAGAGCCATAAACAGCCCCAGTAATGACTGCAGCTATTTGCGCAGAGCAGTAAATATTTCGGTTTGTTGTTAAACAAAAGAAAGATTGTACTTTTTTTTTTTTTTTTTTCTGGGGCGTAAAGAAAGTGAATCCAATTTTCCCCCCAAATGCTACCATTGTGGATCCTGCACACTGTCAATTAGATTCAAGGTACAAATATTTAGTTTGGGCGAGCAGATGGCCCCGCAGCTGCAGGCCATAAAGTTCAGTCCACTTTAAAGTAAACACCCGTAAGCCGCCCAGTGCACAGGCTGGGTGATTCACGGGCTGGACTGCCCCAGCCTCTGAGGCGGGGGGGGGGCATCCTCGGGCCAAGCTAGGTTCCAGGAGCAGTCACCTGTGTGCCACAGATGGGGTCCTCGCAGAGGTACACGCCCGGGGACTGGCCGTCCTGCAGGCTGCCCGTGGCCACCTCCGACAGCAGGTCCCGCAGGTTCTCCTCCTTCCCCCACACTTCCACGGCGGAGATCCGGACAGAGAAACGGGCGCCCGTCTTTTCCTTCCGTTCGTTAATCAGCTTGAAGAGCCAGGAGATGGCACAGGGAATGATGCCGAGGTTTTGCATGGAATCGTCCTTCCCGATCATCGTATAGGATTTTCCTGGGAGAGCCGGGGACGAGAGCAAAAGCAGTTTCAGTGTCTAGGCGTCATTCTAGGCCTCTTAAGAAATACAGGCTAAGGGTGTGGAGGAGAGCCATGGGGCGGTGGGGGAGGTAGAAGAAAGGAATGAAAAGGTGAGAGAAATAGTCAGCATTGAACAGAAACAGAGACAGAAAGGGCATTCCCTAATACTACCGGTTAAATGGCTGTAATAAAAAAGTCAAGAGCCCAGACACATGACAAGATGCCATGTGCCTTGCGGAGGGTCCCAGCCATCACAAGCTATCCAGTTTCTGCATCGTGTCACACACGGTGGAGAGGCAAGAACTTCTCGTCCTTATTACGGTTCTTTTTGCAGCTGCCCCACAGATTAAATCCAGGCGCATTTATAGCCTTTCTCAAGTTAAACGCTGTGTATATTTTTATAGCATGGGCAAATTCCATTAGAGCCCAGATCACTGCATTCATGGAGAGTAAAAAAAGAGGAAGAGCTGGTGAGGATGGAAGTCGGAGAGAGAAGCAATGGGCCTTCTGTCCAGGCCCAGAGCTGGCCTCCACGCCCTCTGCGGGGCCTCTGTTGACGTCTCTGCTTAGGACCCCTTTTGGAGCTCTCCAAATCACTAACTTATCAAGCGTGTAACTTAAGGCAAGTCCTGGTGAGCCGATGGCCACCGGTCAGGGTTAAGATGGGACAGTGAAGGCGTTTGATAGAAACCCTGTGTGTGTGGTGAGGAGGGTCACTGCGCCTTCACCAGAAGCTTCTGCACAGGAGTGTCCCAACAGTGTGGCCCCTGCGTGCTGGGCAGCAAGGGCGGCTGGTCAGACAGCTTCCCCAGGCAGGTCCTACGGCGGCTCTGGGCTTTGCAGGGCGGTTGATCCTCCAGTTTTTACATCAGCTCTGATCACCTTGCTGGGGTGTGCGTGTGCGTGTGCAGGGAGCCCTGGTCTACTTTCCAACAGCCCCTGTTTAGGAACCCTACAGCCCTGCCCTCCCTCTGTGCATCTCACGTTGACTTTCCTACGTGACTGGGTGTCTGCTTAAGATGAACGCCTAAGTTTCAAAAGCAGAAATGGTTCTTCAGCACCTTTCAGAGAAACTTAACCCTTCCTTTCAAGTGAGGAGGGACCAATACAGGACACAGGAACCCTGACGCGCAGCATGAACAAGTAAAGCTCTCACTGACCCAGCTTGGCATGCCCAAAACAGAACACGCAGCCATCTGCTCCGTTGACCACAGACTGGATCACCTCCGCCACAGTCCCAGCGCACACTTCAGCCTGTCAGACAAAAAGGAGACACGCACTGTGACTGGATTCCACCACCGAGGCACCATTCATGGCTTAAAAGTGAGCCTACCTGTTTCCAGGACTTAGCGTTCCAATGTCACTGTATTCTTAAATGGGCCAGCCTCGGCCACAGAAGCCTGACAGTGCTCACAGCCCTTCTGCCCTTTGCAAGCCTGAGCATTAGACACGTTAGCTGCAAAGCACCCTTCACCCCTCTGCTCATCGGTGGTGCGTTTCAGCTGCTGCCTCTGTAGAGCGGGATCAGGCTGGAATGGGGACATAGGGCATCACCGACATCACTTCCTTCCCTCATCTGCCATTC